TGCATCTACTTAATATAATCTATTAATGAATGATTTGAATAAGGTTTATACGAAATCCAAGGCGCGCGGTACTAAATTAAAAGATTTGCTGCCAAACCTGCAGAACTCGTGAAAGATTTGATTTGGCAATCACCTCGTGTACTTTTATTTTTATTTGTGTGGAAACAGTTTCGTAATATTACACCAACCTATTTTTTAAATACCTACCTCAATCATGTTAGAAGGGTTAAAATCATCTACAAGCAACGTTCATTCTTACCTAGAACCTATCATTGGCAGCAAAATTAATGTCTGAGTAACGATGAATTATTATGCGACCTCCACTAAACAAAGTAAAACAATATAGTCTAACGGTTGTGAACCGAGTGAGGTAAAGAAAGATACGATATACTCTAACGGGCTACATAATGTAATTAAGTTAATATTGATTAATATAAATTAAATCGATAGAATAATAAAAATCGACTATATGAATATAAAACAAATTCAAACAGGGCGTACCCGAAATGTACTATTCTTCAAAGTACGTGTATATTGAGAATATCAATATACTAGTATAATATTATCCTGTTTCGGGAAAAATCTCTGCCAATAGTTTTATTTGAACCGTCGATGAATGACTGTCATTTTCTATATTGCTTTCTTGTACTATTTGATTAGTGGTGGTTGATTAATTTGATGTATATTCGTCAAATTTTGCATTACTTTTACCTAATCTAACATATAACAGATCGATTGACATTGCTTTCTGTCTGATCGCATGCAGGAAAATTAATAATGTATTAAAAACGGAACGAAGTCATAATGTGTCATAATTTGTACATCAAAACACCCATGATAAATGACCCCAACATTTCTAATCATTATATATAAAAATAAGTAGATGTGGTATTATTGCCAATGAGACAACTATCCACAAGAGACCCAATCACGTAGATTGCAAGTTTTCACAGGTCACCGTACGGCTTTCAACAATGACCAAAATTAATACAGTATAGCAAACTATCAAAAAATCCTTGAACTGAGAAAATGTAAAACAATTCAAACAAAAAATCAACGGCTTTATGTACAAAAAATTAAACAAATAACAAATATGACAGACATCGACCAACGACAACCACATAACTACTATCTATAGACCTGAGACAAACGCACACAGAATATGGCGAAATAACATGTCAGCGAGCGTTCAGTCCTCCCTCGTAGGTATCTTGAGACAGCGGTAAAGCAGCACACCACAAGAACAAACTGTAAAAATCAGTTAAAAAAGGCTTGACTTATCAGATCGACACAAAACACAAAAACATCAAACATATAAACTAAAGATACAAAGCACCGATACAACAACACTCATGGTTACTGAAAGCTAGTTAAAAGCCAATAACACCTAATAAATCACTTATTATGAATCATGTATCCCGCAGACTATAATAGCAATATTTACACATCCAGTGGATTTATGTAAAGACGTCATGACAGTCTGAGAAAAACATGACCTGGTGCAAACCCAAAATAAAAGTTTCCACATGATGTAGGGCTGTAAGTGTTCGTACACATGTAGCTGTATAAGAATACATATTCAGTAACAATATAAATTACCATTAACAAAATAACAAAATCAATGCCAGTACAGACAAAACAATATCTAGCAATGATAATAGTGTGAAACCGGTTACCTTTTAAAGTAAGTCTATTTAGAGGATCAATAAGCTACATGGATCGTAATTAAATCAATGGGCTATGTAAACAGCATCACCGTAAAAAATGAGGATGCGACATTTCGTCTGTAATAAGTTGTCCTCGGGCACAGTTTGGGGCGAACCAAACATTTACGAAAGAACTCAGTATGGTCTTCAAGCAACATGTAACAACGCCATCACTGACCAAACAACTTACCAGTGACACAAGGATCACGCCTTCAAAAATCTACAGTGCATACACAGACAAGAAACACCGAACGAGTTTGGACATAGTTACTTACACCACAAGATGGGGCCAAAGGAACATCACAGCCCAAACAAGGAAAATCCTTTTCCGCAAACTTTTATAAAGAGTTTGCCCGTGTTACACTAAAACATCCAAATCAAGGAGGGGATAGCTATAATTGCCGTCTATATTAGATTCAATTTCAGTAAGCTGTCTTGGGTAATATATCTAGAGAACGCTTGACATTAACGCCAAAACACCATTACTGAAGAGACATTATTGTTGAAATACGCATCCATACCCTTTTTTAAACTTTATTGCCGAACGTACATAGATATTGTCAAATGGAAAATTATGACTTTAATCGTCTCGCCACAATCGTCATGGCGTTGTCAGATTATTTTCGACTTATGAGTTTGAATGCTCCTCTGGTATCTTTCGCCTCACTTTTAAGTATATAAACTCTAAATATAATTAAATTTTTGAAAAAATGATCATGATTAAAAAAATAAACAATTTTGATATTTGTCTAATAGATGAAAGGTGATTGTTTCTGTAGCCGTGACTATTAATTAGATCTCTTTGTAGAAATCAATTATCAAAAACATTAATAACTATTCTTACCCGGATCACCCTTTCAAATCATTCATAAACAGAATGTTTTATTGCTGTGTGAAGATTAATATAATTTCAAATCTTTATATGGTAACATTTTATATTTAATAACATTCATCACAAGCAGAGTAAATGTGAAGGGTTATATTTTCGCGGAGGACGAAAAGAATCAATGCTATCGTAAATGGTGTAAAGCGGCGTACGTGACTCTGATCGGATGGTATAGTCAAGAACTGTCTTAGCACATGATAATATTCATATGAAAGGACGGAGTTTACATTAATAATGCAGTAGTGGCTCAACACCAACAAATCAGACAAAAATATACAATCATCGTCAATATATTAGTTTCTATCATATGTCAAGTTCTTAATCGCTCAAACAAGTTTAATTTTGAACAGGAGTGCACATGCTACAAATGTTCCGCCTGATTTACTTATCATGATTGAAGTTACGTTGGAAGTCTTGTATATGATGATTTTACTGTATCACATAAACTTAACGTAACATGTACCAATGATCCGTGTGAATGAGGTCAAGGTAAAAAAACCTACTAGCCTAACGTGTATAGCTTACAATCATTACATACACTAAATTTAGTTAGCCCATATTGCTTATAATATCTGAGAAACCTTATTACGAAAATTTAATGTTAACCAATGAATCATCAAAATGAGGTCAAGATCAGATAAAGTCTGCCAGACAAACATATAAAACCTTACAATCATTCCATACACCAAATAAAGTTGATCTATCACTTAAAATACATGAAAAATAGTCTAAACTACAAAAAAATAACAATGTCCAATAAATTATGAAACATGTCAATGTCAGATGAAACCTGCAAGACGGATTTGTACACCTTACGATCATTCAATATACAATATACAGTTTATGTATAATTGCTTATAGCATGTATAGTATCAGACAAACAGACCAAACCTGTACATTGACCAATGAACCCCGAAAATGAGGCCATGGTCACATGAAACTACCCAATAGGGTATGTACATCTTTTAATCATCCCGTGCACCAAATATAGTTAACCTATTAACTATAATGTCTGAGATACGGAATTGACTACGTAATTTGGAACTTGACCTTAATCACTGATCCATGAAATCAGGTCGAAGTCAGGTGAACCCTGTCATACGGACATGCAAACTTTGCAAGAATGCCGTATACCAAATATATTTATCCTATTATTCATTATAAGTGACAAATTCACATGACAAAAACCCATACATTTTTATCAGTCGCTAATTTATGAAAAAGAGGTCAAGAACTATGGACATATAAAAGACGGAGACTTCGGAACTCAAGGCATCTGCATACATTGAATTAGGAATCCAGGTCTTCTTTCTTCTTAGATATTTACGCCGCCGGATTAGCATCCCTATGTCTTGCGTGCAATGTTCGATGGGTACAAAAATAGAAGGCCGTACGTGACCTATAGAAAAACACAGCAAAATAACTATAATAGAACTGAGATATTCTGCTTTGTCTGACAAACATAACATTTTACCACTTAATCTAATAAAAAAAAAGGAAAATCACGAACTTTCTAAATGTTTGTCTCCTCATCCCGTCTCGATATATATTTATAAAACTTCAAAAAAATAAATTAATTACATGATACAACATAAACATTAATAATGCTCCTTTTCACCATCTTCCATAAATGTATACCAAGCACACTTTCGTAGGTAAAAAGTGGGATACAATTTTCTATTGAAATGCCTTAATAGACTTATATATTGTACCAATCATCATGCATATGACGGTTTAAGTGTGTATAATATTTTCAAGCTTATTAAGATAAACTAGAAAATAACCACAGAGACCTTAAAATATGAATTCAGGAAGAATTAGACATATGTAAAGCTCAAAGAAAGATAACCCAAATGATTCGCTGTTTTTTTTTGTAATAAATCTGTCAAATGTGTGTTTCGGTCACGAGTTCACTGGACCCTAGGGGGTTAAATGGGCTCTTTCATACGACATGCCCAGTATTAAAAATGCTATATATTTTACTGGGCATGTCGAATGCTTTAGAAGTGCGTCCGTTTGAGTGGGCTGTGCTGGCTGTTCGGGATGTATAAATACGCAGCCACGTCCGATGCCTCTTGTCAAGAGGGTACTCTCACTATGCAAGAAATATTTACCATTTGACGTTAAGCAAACAAAAATCAATCCGTCATTGGTCAATAGTGTGTGTATGCACGGTAGTGTCTGTTTTTTTTCTCTTTGTTACCGTCTTCTATGAAGGATTTTTTGTCTTTTAAGTGTATATGGGTGTAAATGCACTATTGTATCCTGTTCAGGCGATGACGTCAAAACCTGAATTTGTGTGTTTTTTAAAACTAATGTCCTTTCAGTATTTATTTGTTTGGATCAAACTTGTTGATCCATTTACTATGATAAATCATTCTTGTGTGGCAAGATTGTAATACTATTGATATATCTTAACATTTAATATATAATTTCTGTACATATATATATAAAAGTCATATAGAAATCGGAAATTATTATGATTTAAAGGGACTTCATCGTTTATCAACACATTTAGTCGATCAATAACTGCTTCAACCTCTCTGGCCTATCACATCATTTTTCTGTACGTTCATGTATTATAGTCCTTCTCAGAAGGCTGTAACTGAAAAAAAATATAAAAACCATTCTTTCAATTATCATACCGATCTTGCCAGCAGATTATAATTAAATATAAACTATCTGAACTTATCTCATCTTTTTTTCTTTAAAATTGTTGTTGTTCTGAAATAAAATTGCTTAACTTGTGATAAAAAAAGTCGTGTTCGTTATCACTGCTAAATTCTATGGATATTGGTCATTGAAATTGTTTTTATGTCAGTTGCGAACAAATTGTTTGCTAAAAAGAATACAAAAAAATCACTTATAGTTTAAGAATTCAGACACAGTGAAATTATGTCTTTTTAAATGTTTTTAATTACAACAACAGTTTTATCAGTTGTTTTAAATGATTAATTAAAGTAGCATTTGCATGCACATAAAACATATACGTTTGTAGACGATGCGTAACGGTACAGGAATCTAGTCCATCAACCTTTACGTGTACAGCATACAGATTTTCCTTCTGTAATTGAAAACCTCAACGTGCTGACCTGTTAGTGTCTTTGTTTCAAGCCGTTAGCCCGCTTTCTCATCGCGAAAATCATATACCTCATATTTCTCTTATATTAAGTGACAGACTTACAGACAAAACAAATCCGGAAGATTGAAAAAAGGAAATTGGTTTTTTAAGTAAGAGATAATATGTATAAAATACTGTCTAAGTTTCCTAACATACCTCTCTCTTGTAATTCCCTTTCATCACCAATGGTACCATCATTTGTGAAATCTATGGTCGCTTCTATCACTTCAGCTTCTATATACACAGACGGGGTCTTTTCTTTGTCCTTTACTCTTGCTGTTGAAGTAGATGATACACTCGAACTATCTCCGTCACTGCGAGATGATACTGGTACCGCTGTGGATGGATTTGTCAGTGATGAATAACGGATACCAGAAGGGTTATGACCTCTCTGCCATAGTGCACTATCGTTGTCAACCACATCAACAATAATTTGCTGATTATCTAAAACTACGGTTCTCTGTAATGATTTATATATGTGTTACTACTTTTCTTTGGTTTATACAAATAAAATCGAGAAAATTTAATTCAAAGTAAAATTACCAGATCTTTATATCTGATGAAGGTAATTCCAGAAAAGCGCTTCGGACGCATGAAATTTATAACGTGTTGTTTTCATTTTTTATATTATTACAAAGTTTTCAAAACGCTACAATCAATCGATCGTTTCATATTTGTATTTTAGGTAGCATTTTATTTAGAGAGCAAAGAAAAGCTATACGAATTGAGTATTTTGATTCAACTGAAAAAAGTAATACTGGTGAAAAAGAATATAAGTTCTTGGCTTCTTAGCTGTACAAAAAATGTACTTTAAACAAAATCTAACGATATATCAAAAAATATAAATCAAAGAAACAGTGCTTCTCATGTTGTTCTTCATTTTGACAGTTGCTGGGAGGTCTTCAATAATTAGCAGAGCTGCGAACTTTTTATGAACTCTATTCATGGTATTCATTTTTATGCTATAGGATACACTTATTTTTCATCACAAAACTTCAACGTCATATTCATTTCAAACAGTTTATTGTTGGTACAAAATGGTTTACGATTCCCAACCAATACTGAGAGCCAAAATTGAAGACTTCTTAAGGTTTATTTATATCGATCGCACGGGAGCATAGTTTAGTAGAAGAAACAGTTCTATTGATCAGTTTTAGTGTCTGACATCTTTAAATGGGTGGATAAATTAAGTTTCGCGTAACCACTTTCCTATTGAAAAATACGAAATTGCATTAAGTTTTGTGCTCTTTTATCTATAAACATAACTAAAGACTAAACAAAAGTGACGTGATTGTTGTTTACACGTCCACTCATATACCGTCCTTATATTGCAGATACCTAATATGTTAGTTATCAATGAAATACAAAAAAAAAATGGTGAAACCTATTACAAACAAATGCTAAGGTACCACTATGTTATTACGAAGGGTTGATCTATAATATCAAAAATACATTCAGGGCTCCATTTAATACCTTGCCATGAGTATTATTTATTAAATTGATAACTGAAAAGGCCAAACATCAACATTTATTTTAAAACATGACTTTTGTACTCTGCGGACCGAATAACGCACTTCTCAGTAATAATATTAAGTTGAGAATCAATTTGTCCCCAGAAAACTTATACTGACATTTTATATCAAATTTCAAGTTACCCTAGTTAACGTAATATATCTATCAAAGCATTGTTATTGCGAAACAAAAGAGACCAAGGACAAATGGAATCCGATTCTTACCTGTAAAGTTGGCACTTCTTTTACTATATACCTGATAAAAAGTAAACGGATACGTTTGTATTGAATTATAATACAAAACAATGAGTAAGTATATTGTTATTACATCATATATATTCTAACTAGGTTTCCATTACGATACTGTCTGTTGGCTGATTCAAATGTTCTTCTGACCCTTTCACATCTTGCAGGTCATTCACAGGCAAATTTCAAATGAGAAAGGAAAGACGACTGATTAGATTATCATCGAGAAAACACATTTTTTTTTATAGATCAGATTATACAGTTAAAAGGGGAGATACCACGATTGCAATAAAAACCACAAGTTGAAAAAGTAACGCGTCTCACAATAACTAGGTTTGGCCAATGCTTAAAGTAAAAATGTATGAATGACTCGCGTGCAGATACCGATTGATCAAAGTTCCAAAAAAGTGGCGGATATTTTAGCGAATATGATTGCACGTTTTAGCGCTAAAGTATATATCATAACCCATTTTAGCACAAGATTGTTTTACCTAACAAAAATTACAGTTACCGTTTGAGCGACAGAACATTAATGCGTTTTATACTCATTTACAATATCAATTAGTATTATTAAGATTGGAATGTATATACAAAGTGGGTTCTTGGTACACAATTTTTACAACATGATCATAGAATTCTCCTTCTAATTATCTTGTCTTGATTTCTTAGCTTGTTAATAATTTGCCGATTTGGTTTAATAATTTCAACACAATTTATTTGCTTAAATATGCAATAGGGACGAGATTCATGTTAATGAAACTTATAAAGTCTTCTCCTTTCTTAACCGGCCCTAAAATGGGCTATAATGTATATCTTGCGTCCGTTTCATAGGACATTAAAATACACGTTATTCTACTATACCGCTTTCAGTGCTGACGAAGTGTGTTTCTGGAATAAACTACACCAATTACGTTCGTTAATTAAAGTGTAGCAAGTTTTTTAACGTGTGGAGCAACAAAACCAAAACCGGCCTAAACAGAAAAGAAACCTTACACCCAATACATACACATAATTCAGTTACTGAAAATCCATAATCACAATGCTTTTATTTGAATCATAAACAAGTAATTTAAGTCCAAAACGTTTAGTCAATAATGATATTAATACTCACAATACTTAAAGATTATACATAAAGTCCGTGGTAGAATTCGACACGAACTGATCAAGTTTGTTTATCTTAGCCAGAATTCTAAATCATAATGGCAAAAAACATGAACACTCGCCAATAATACAAAAATATGGACCGACTTTAACAGGCTTGCACTATTTTTTTGTTATTTGTGTTATTTTGTGATCATGGGTCATTAATGCGTAAAACTCATGCTGTTCATACAGTTAGATTTTAAAAGATCCTATGTAAGAAAGTATTGAGGTTGTGATCTATAATATGCAACACGCATGGTTCCATGCAAGTTCTTGTTAATTTGACGTTATTTACTCTAGACACATAGTATAGGTAAATACGAATAAATTATAACTTACGAGAAAAAAACTTACCCATTTGGATGTCTTACTTCTGCAAATAATAAAAATATACATTGTTGATATCCAATGGTATTTTAGTACATGTTACCGAGATTCTGCATGTAAATATATTAATACAGAATCAACTATTTCAGTTTTGAAATAATTGGAATAAAATATTCTTAATTTTCGAAAAGAGTACCAAAGCACTACCTAACTAGGCGGATAATACTCTCTTGGAATGGCACGCCAACTGCATCGGTACTAAACTAAGTTGCGATGAAATAAATAAATAAGGCGAGGTGGTATATTTGTCAATGACACAAATGTCCATTAATTATTATAACCAAAGAACACAGGTGTGGAATCATCGTACGGCCAACATATCTTTAGCAAGGGAAGCTATAAAAGGCCCTAGATGACTAAATATAAAGCAATTCAAAAGAGAAAACAAACGGCCTGATTTGTGCTACAAATATATACGTTAGGAAGACATCATCCTATGACAATTACTGGATCATAAACTCCTTGCTTAGAACAATGACTATTAATGTGTGTGAAGGGATTGAACAAGTTTGTGTAAGCCTTAGCTCCTCTAATTTGAGACAGTGGTGTAACAACACAATATAGGATCAGTTAGAAAGGACTCGGCTCTTTAGATCCTTGTTGCAGTGTGTACTTTTGTATATCTTTTGATGGTGACTCTTTTAGTGTTATAGTATTCTTTTATTTGTCTTTGAAATTTATTACTTTTACTGTTAAGCCTATTTTTGGCAGTACAATGTATCCCTTTGACGTGGCTCAGTACTTTTACATCCCGTCATTGTGTTGTAGTGCTGTGGTAAATTTTTGTATTCTTGTCTTTGCTAATGTGCTTTGTTGTCTCTTTGACACATTCCCCATTTCCATTCTCAATTTTATTTGTCTTTATACCTTTTTGTTTGTCTCTGTTGACATATTTGCTTGTTTTTGTAGTGATACATTTGACGTGGCTCGGTACTTGTGCATCCCGTCATTGTGTTGTTGTGCTATGGTAAATTTTTGTATTCATGTCTTTCGTTTTTGTTAATGTGCTTTGTCTATATGCCTTTTTGTTTGTCTTTGTTGACATATTTGCTTGTTTTTGTAGTGATTAAGATTATAACACAATGTTGACTGCTGTACCCTTATTTTTGACATTTTTACCTTTTATGTATGTTTGTTTTGTTCACACATCGCTGTCAATATAATTGAATTTTATGCGACTGTCATACATTGTACAAGTAAGAGGTTTAGCTAGCTATACAACCAGGTTTAATCCACCATTTTCTACATAAGAAAATGCCTATACCAAGTCAGGAATATGACAGTTGTTATCCATTCGTTTGATGTATTTGAGCTTTTGATTTTGCCATTTGATTAGGGACTTTCCGTTTTGAGTTTTCCTCGGAGTTCGGTATTTTTGTGATTTTTCTTTTTACATTCATTTATTTCCAGTAAGAAAAGAAGAGTTTTTTATGGATATATCAAAAATGTAATTCCATATCGTGGAAAAACTTGTCATCACAGTGACATGGAATATGTTTAAAGAAAATGTGGGATATCATAGGTCAATTAGACAGCAACAACAAAAAACACTACAGTACCATCTTGAGGTCAACATAATTTATGGTCTTCAATAACTTTACGTCTATCACATGTCTGATAATAAAATTGTCAACTGAAACAAAATCGAAATAGTCGACCCAAAACATAGTCCGTATATATTCAGTGTCCTCCATTGATTACAAGATCGATTTATATATTTTGGATTATAAAAATAACCAGACTATTAAAGCAAGCAACAATATGGAATAAGTAAACGAAACGTTTATATAAATAACAATCATGATTATTCTTTTGGCACATTTTACTATTAAAGTAAAAATCCCAGTCATAAAAAATAATTTTACTATACCTCTACGCCAAGATCCAGGTATCTGTGGTCTGCTCCTGTGCAAATAATTCATTTCCATATCCAAACCTCCATTTTGTTTATCTTTTATGGCATTTTTTTGTTTCATTTGTTCTTTCATCTGACGCTTGATTCTTTTTCTTTTCTCTATCTTTGCCAATCTTTCTTGATCTATCCATGATCTTGGAACCTTAAATCGTCCACGTTTCAACTGTATTTTTCTATATGCATCTCTCCTATATGGTAAAAACGAGTAAACAGATGAACGATTACATGTACGTCTTGTTGACGGGAATTTTTATAATTCTATTTTAATTATGTATCAACTATTATACTTAATTCGAACAACATAGCATGGATTTCGTTTGGTAAGTTCGTACAAATACTTGTTATAGGAGACTACATCGCTATAAACGACATAATTTGAGAATATGAACTGTATATCATGCCTTTAAACCCTCTTATTTTTCTAAACGGATAAATATTGAATTTCTCAAATTTTCTCTTAAATTCACTCTGTCATGTTAATGCACGATTTAATTTTCAAATTGAATGAAAATAAATGTGATATGTTCATTGATACATCAACCCAACGACATAGAAAAACCAAAAATAGTTGGTGGTCAACATATTAAGTTCTTATCCACGGAAAGATATTTATGCGTGAAGGTCTCAATCAGCTAATCTTTTAAACAGAAAGCAGAGATTATCGCAAATCTGCCGTCAACACACCAATTCCCAAAATGACAAAATTATTGGATAATAAAGATAACAATGACGACGTTTATGACTTCGGACAGACATTTTAATAACAATTTAATAATTTGACCATGTATTAGAGCTGTTTGAAAAATGGAGAATATATACCAAACAATACAAATGTCAAGTATTTGCAAATAACCGATTTCCCTCCTTATTTCAAAATATGCAATGGGGGTTTTCACTTCTAAGAGCATTACGTGTGTGTATTACACGACTTTCAGAGTATTGCATGTTTTATTACATTTTAATCCTACATGATGACCTAAATGCTAATGCAACATCGTTTGTAACGTTCATTTTGATTGGATAACGTCGCCAGTTTTCATGGCATCAATTCACAGCTGATGCGTTGAAAACGTACGCGCAAGCGCAGAAAACGTATAACAGATTTTAAATGTATGATTTGACGTTGTTTTCTGTCAGTTTCATTAGAATGGAGATAACACTATTGTATTTTAAGCGCCGCCAGTGAACTTAATTTGCGACCATCAATGCATGACTCTCCCTACGCAAGACACCGGATTTAACATCCCCATTTCTGACTTGACATGGCTACATGTAAGTAGTATTTCGACACCCTGCACAACCAAACGGACTTCCTTTTTAGTATGGGTTTACATGCCAGGACATGGAAGTCCATGTGACCATATTTTGATACCTTAAATAACACACGGGGTCAAAAGCAATTAAAAAAACCACTAACACTAATATGATGCGTAAATGATTATTACCAAATAGCAAAAATTACAGCTACCAATATCACAAGGCAAAACAGAACCCCAGCAACTGTCGAGGCTGCTACAACTCCGGTAAATGCGTCATCTTCACAGGAAATACCTTTTAAATAAAAATAAAATGCACCTTTGAAATACATTTTTTTTTAATAAACTACCTGTTACAATTTATCATAGATTTGAAGTAACTAATGGTTTAGATTGTTGTATAGAGTAATACTCAGAGTAATATGCACCCCGTCAGAATGTGTTGAAAGGATATTTTGTTTACAAAGAATGGTCAGTCAAATATATATCATTTTCATATTTCATTGATTATATAAAAATTGGTTTTTCCATTGACTTTCATAACAGGTACATAAGTATATGTACTCATGTTTTAATGCTTCGATTGATTATTGCTTGCTCCATCATAATATGATTAAATTTCCTATGACTTCTTTGCAGCTGTGCTTTTAAAAATTGTTTCTAGAAAATAATATCAGGTATTTTGACTTAGTATCGATAGATCCCTAACAAAGAGATTACTCTGAATTTCATAACTTATTTGTATTTTGTATTTTTTTTGACAAACGCAATGGACGCCTTGTTAATCTCATAAAATGCTAAATTTATTCAGGTGTGCTTATGACCTAATTAAACCCATCTCGTTATGTCTTACTGCAGCCATTCATTTAAAGAGAACATCTCCATAAGCAATCCGTCTTATTAAGTTAGTACAAGTTTGAAATTAGTGTTAAATTTCGACAGTATAATACAATGTGTATAATTGTTGCTAGGTGAAAATTTTATGGAATATAATCAGTCCATTGTCAATTTTAGTAACTATTTGGTAAAATATGAAAAACAATATGTATAATATAAATGAATTATATAGGTGAAACTTAAAATTGTTGGCCCTTTCAAGCACCTGTACATTGTCGTCGCAAAGCCTACTCTACATGGAAGTTGGTTATTGTTAGTTCTTAATATGCAAATGTGAATGTGAGTAGCTATATAGTCCATTGAGGATTTGTAGGGTATTGCCCTCTTGAGCTTAAAAAGCGTTTGCCCTGTCTAGCTCAAAACTTGTCACCATAACTACTCAAATATGGGTATATTGCTAGATCCTGATATGCAAATATGCATGTAAGTAGTGTGTACATGCATCTGAAACAATAGCAGACAAACACTTGAAAAAGGCCAAATCTATATCATCTTTAATAGCCCACATGAACGTCAATCCTGGATGCAGGGGAGGTGGTAGTTGTCCAGCTTAGCGCGAACGTTTCAAGTGAAAAGCGTGTATCACATCTGTATTTGTTAGATTTCTGCCTTGTTTAGTCTGTTAGCAGTATTTGTTAGATTTCTGCCTTGTTTAGTCTGTTTTTATTGATTTTACCCCGCAATCGAAAGCTTCCACCATAATATATTTGATTGCACACTTCTTATATGATATGGTTTATCTTAGTTATAAAAAAAAACACTCAATACATTTGAAACTTAGCATATACATGTAGTTTACAATGCACTTTATGAATGTAAATGTTTCAGAATGTTTACATTTTATTATCATTATACAGAACAGTATTTATGTTTCTTAATCAGGGCAGAAACTAGAACACTTTATTCATACTTTTTATTTTTGATTTAGAAAAATTCAACTGTGATAGAATTAATATCCCTTGCGGTTTACTTTTAAGATATTTTTGCAGACCTAATATGTGGGTGGTAATGAAAGAAAAATATCAAAAGTAAGAATAATAATTTGTATCTGCATTTTTTATTTTAACAGATTACAAATATAGTTAAAATTTAAAATTTTGGATTCGCATGGCTTGTGATACATGCATGTTTACCATGTTGACCCACCCTGTCTCGCTTGTTCGGAGTACCTGCCATTCCTATACATGCTAATGAGACAACTTTCTCTACTAAATGACAAAGATGTAAAAATCACAGGCCATCTAGCGGTCTTCAACAATTAGAAAAAACCCAGACCGTATAAAAGTGATGACATAATGTGAAACAATTCAGAAAATACGAACCACCGCCTTATACTTTCACAATAAACGAAAAACCAGTTATGGCATGTTGATCAACAGTTAACCACTTCTCCCTTTTATACCAATACAGTACTTTTCCATGTTATGACGTAAACACATTATATTCAGTAATATCCCACGTTTGCTTAACTTCGGCAGTTGATGCAAACTTGAATATGATTTATTTTTACACTTAAATATTACCATTAACCTCGGGTTTGTCGCATGGCCCATTTGTCAAGGCTATGATGTATCCCTGTATTGGAAAAAGTTTTAAAAATATTTCCCTTCAACTTCTTCTTTATTTGATATACGTCTCATTATAGGTTTTTCATAGAATTACTTTCGATTATCGTTATGCTGTATTATCAAGACTGACTTTCTTACAGAAGCGTTACCATACGTCCTGTTAAGTTTATATGTTCAATAATTCGAGTTAGTACTTTCAAAACATATTGAAAAGACTAGTATTAAATAAAATTTATGTATGTTAGTTATATTATAATTCTAACTTTTTCATTTGCATTACAGAAATCAATATCTCATAAATAAAATAATTTTATTCAAATGGGGGCGTATGTTCGTTTATAACTGCACCTACATATGAACTTGTTAATTAAAAACTAATGTGGTTACACTTTTACATCAAAATTATATACACAACATTAATGTTATGCAGCGAGATTTAGTGTGTAAAAAACCACGTATAGCTATATATCATTTTAATTATATATTATCAAAACAATCATACTCTGATATAAACTTGTCAATATTTGAGAAAGTTGTGTGCCTTGAGCAAATTGGAAGTCCTTAGACACATATTAGTCTTTGATGTCACATAATTATGTCTTACATGAATGTGTATTTGAAGCATAACTAGATGTAAACAAGTAAATACGGTGTGTGTGTTTGTCCGCAGGTGTTACAAAGAATGCGGTTGTTTCATTCTTCTTTTTTCTTTTTGTTTCTTTTCAGCATACAAGAGAATGATAGATATAACTAAAGATGAAATTTCAGACAAATACGGTACATACGATTTTCCTGATTTTACTTTAGATTTGCTTCTATTTTTGGAACTTTTCATAGTCGTTAAATATACAAATCGTCTACAGAGCAAGACTTAAAATTCTAAAATCAACCGTTATTTTTTGCTTATTTATAAGTATGTGTGTGGTATAGTTCTTGTTTTTGTATGTGTGTTCATAATAATAGGTGTTCAGAGCTAGCGAAAATTCCTTGCATTACTAGTATATCATAATACAAAGAAGCCCTATCTAAATTCAGTTTTGTTTTTCTTTTAATTAGTTGAATTTACTTATTCAGAGTTTCAGTGTTTCAGCATGCCTGCATCGGTTTAATTCGAAATTCCTGTATTTTTACACTTATCGCTTCCTCTACTCCTGCATGTTGGACCCCCCTTTTTCCCGTCACTATTGTCCTTCAATTTCGGCAACATTGTTTTACCGATGATCCAATTTCATAAATAGCTTAAGACGATACAAGTCAAGGTAACAAAACAAAATGAAATCAGATATTATGTTCTAGTACTGGATGATTTTCTAAATATAATTGGGCAATACGTATACATGTATTTATTAAAAAGATGAAATTGAGAATGGGAATGGGGAATGTGTCAAAGAGACAACAACCCGACCAAAGAGCAGAAAACATCCAAAGGCCATCAATGGGTCTTCAACACAGCGAGAAAATCCCGCACCCGTAGGCGGGCTTTAGCTGGCCCCTAAACAAAAATGTGCAATAGTTCAGTGAAAATGGACGTCATACTAAACTCCAAAACATATAAATGAACTAAAATTAAAAATCATACAAGACTAACAAAGGCCAGAGGCTCCTGACTTTGGACAGGCGCAAAAATGCGGCGGGGTTAAACATGTTTTGTGAGATCTCAACCCTCCCCTATACCTCTAGCCAATGTAGATGAATGAATGGTATTCTACCATGTAATAAAACATCACTTAAATGTCTACCTGAGTATCTTACTCCTTTTTTTCATGAAAATTAAGTAGTAGGATTTATAAATATAAGTATTGCCCAAAATAATATAATTGGTAAAATTCGATTTTAATCAGATTTAAGAATTCTTTACAAAAAAAAAAACAAAATCGGTGCATCGAAATTAAGTGTAAGTGTCCTTGGGAGACTTATGGTTTTCCCACATATTGGCCTTGAGCGTAACTGGAAACCTGATATTCACTAAATTCAGCATTAGTACAATTATGTATATTTTGAAACGAACAAAAGAAAGGTATTAGCACAAAGAATCTTATGTCACAACAACATAAAAAAATTGCTAATGGCTTGTGAAATTATTCTTTTATATATCATCTTTTAAAATGATCATGCAAGCGAATCGTTCTTTATGTTTTATCACAAACAACTTTGTTTTGTTTAAAATGCAACATTTAAATCTCAAACACTTAACTTGTAATGCGATCATTCAAATATATTTATTCTTCCTTAAACAGAAAATTAAAATTTGATACCGATTTGCTGACACCAGTATTAATTATTCAGAAGGAAGTCTACTTAAAATCGTATATTTGTTTTTGTCATACTTGTTTTCACATTAAAAATAAAAAATAATATCGTTGGTTATTTGTTTCATTCAAAATTTGTTTCCCCTCAAGGTTTACTGGGAAATATAATTATGGTCACTTGGGTCTTCTCCCGATCGGCAAAAAAATCCTTGACAAAGTGGGGCGTCCGTTTAGCTGTACGGGATGTACAAGTACGCAGCTACGTCCGATCAGAATGGGGAAGTTAAATCTGATGCCTTGTTTAGAGAGAATGCCACAATCTATTCACGTTAGGAACCATTGCAACAGCTCTTTGAAAGGTCCATCGGTGGCCTGTTGCAAGGCAAAATTTCTGTCCTATTCAATACACTAGTACCCTCATTTTCCAGTGGCAGTCCAAATTTTCCCGACCTTCATCCTGGACAGTCTCTTATACAGGACCTACCTATTGTATTTATTGTTAATTCGTCCTGAACATGCATAAAAATACTTGCCACTGGACATTACCCAAACAACAATCAATCGATATATGTATAAATGACTTTCACCCCAATCTCTTGATGTTGTATGGACGACTTGGCCTTTAAAAGGAAATTTCTTGAATCATTAACTTTTCATTGTTTCCTTGATCATGCAATTCGTATTTCCTTCATCGTTATCTTAGTCAAAAACCATTACACATTCAAGTTAATCGTGACCTAATAGTGTCATCATATCACGATTTGTTTTATATACTACCTCTTATATTTATCGTATTTATTTTTTTTAATTTCATATTGTTCACTTCTTAAATAAAAAGGTGTGGCATGAACGTTTTTAATGAAAGTTTTTAAATCAAACTTACCTGGAAGAACATTTAAAATTGCGAAAGCTGGTAAAATCCGTTTAATATTTTCCATAATTCAATTTTTAAACATATAAACTTCCTTGATGTATTATTACAATAATTAGTGTCGCTTTTCCTCAATAACAAAGACGTACAGTAAAATCTAAATTTTGAATCTGCAGATTAAATTTTAAACCGACAATGCACAGGTGAATATTGTCATGTCAAATTGTACAAGTTTCAAGCATCAATAATGTCTATATTGAATTACTCCAAAAGTGGTAAATATTACAATTTTGTACAAGGTCATGCTCGAATGACAACATTTAACACACATCCAGTAGTAATTAATACGTGAATTTATTACAGTTTTAGTGCAGGAGGATCGCTTTGTTTATGCCTGTCACGAGATGTCGTAATATGGGTGTTTAATTCAACTTTGTATATAATTTCTCGATAAGAATTGTAATACTACAAACGTTTGGTGACTCATTTTAAAATACTGAATTCTTATAAAATAAGTTTTAAAAGACAACATTCATTTGATAGAATTGATCAGAGTATTTTTTTCCATTAAAATGAAATGCGATTCGACTAGCTCGAATTTTTCGATACAATGTCTGCTTTCCAATCAATATTTAATGTATTGTTGCACAATGCATATTCGCGCAGGTATAAAGAGAGAGGGTATTTCTTAATGTAAGACATAGGAATACAGATAAATTTTGTAGTTTTTTTTAATGGTTTAATAGTTTTTTCTAGCTAAAAAGATCAATACCGAAATTTCCAATCTATACTTTGTTATGACCTTGACACAAGCTAGACAGAATTTCATAAATGAATGCACGAGGGTCAAGATGGGTTTACAGAATGTAGAATGATGGGCAAAAAGTGCAAAATAAAGCTAAAAAATATAAGATTGAGAGAAATAGTAAAAAAAAAATATAATTGGGTGATGCTATTATTATATTAATATAAAGAATTGAGAATAATGGACAAAAAATCAAAGAATATCACTGTGGCTTACAGAATGAAAGAATACAGAAGTGAAGGACCCTCCCTCCATACAGACCCTCATGAATGTTTTGTATGCAAACGTATAAATATAAAACGATGCATGGACTCGATAATATGTATCAGCATTTCGTGTGTATTTTTGTCTAGACGTCATCTAATTAACCATCGAGATGACCTCCGAAGACTGCCGACGGTCATATATAAATATAAGTAGATAGCGACCACATGTAAATTGGTTTTTTTCTAGGTCTGTAGTTTGATTTCATATTGTATGTTACAAAGTATGTTTATCATCGTTTTTATCTTATACGAATGATTTTTTCGTGGATCGAATCAGTCAACCAAATGGTTCATCCTTGTTTCACTTTCAATGTTGAAATTCTTTTCTACATGCGTAACCAATCTCCAGCTAAGGAGTTAAATTGAAGGTCACATGAATACGGATTCAATGCGTTTACCGCCGAATTATTCACTCGCAAGTGAATAATTCATCAGCGATGTTTCTTAGCTAATTTTGACAAAATTGAACCAAACTGGCAGCTGAAAGCGAATGCTTATATCACTACTTCACTTTCATTAATGATTGAACAAAAACCAATCATATTTTAATTTGCTTTATATCTCGTAGCTAATGTCCCTTTAATGTTTAAAACAAAGTGCATTATGAGTGCCAATCATTGTTCGTACACCTATTTTTATATAAATTTACAGACGATGCATTCATCTTGCAGTAGCAGTAAAATATTTCCAACACCCGGTTTTTCGTTTTTCTAAATCTATAAATATTTTGTTTTGTTCCAGCATTTATCTGTCAAAATGTCCCAAGCAAAACAAAATCGTATGTAGCAATATTTATTTTTTGCATATATTTTTATTTGTTAAACTTGATAATACATTTCAGTTACGAACCTTCAGTTACAATCTACAGATTTTTTCATTTTCTGTGTGGTAGAAAGTATCCCTAGTTTGCTTATATCTTTTTGAAGACTGACATGATGACATTATACTAGTATGGTCTAGTGAATAGAAGTTCACGGATTTTTAAGTACATTTACTTTTGATAAATGTTTTTCCAAATAATTTCCCTATGCTTTTCTGCTGTAGCTATGTAAATGTCGTTGTATATAAAATATAGTTTGTGCGAGGAAATGTTTCATTAAAGATATAGATAAGACTTGTCATACATATTCTATAAGAGTTCATTACTTACGTAGATTTTTATCTGTTAGTTTCCTTGTTTTCCGTTTTACTATTTCTTTGATTGAAGAAATCACTTGGAATTAGGATGATACGTGTGTGCCTTTTGTCATTAACATTCGCCTTGGGATTACAAGTAAGTCTGGGAGAACATACGAAGAAACGACTGCTATTAAATGATCCCGCCATTCTCAATTCTAGACTTGCAAAACTAGAATCTACTATTCAAAGCATGGACAAAGTCATAGCATCTATGAATAATTCATTTAATGCTAAACTAAAATCTCTAGAATTTAGCTATCAGTCAAATCTTACCACTATGGAAACTTCCTTCCAGTCAACGATCGCCTCCATCAATAAATCTTTCAATACGAAACTGACTTTGTTGGAAAGCTCGTATCAAACGACGATTGTTGCCGTGAACAGAACTCTTCAAACTAAAGTCAATGACCATGAACGCCATATTCAGACTCTTACAAGTAGTCTATCGACGTTACGGATTGGTATTGCGAATCAACAGAACACAATGACACAAATGTCACAATCGTTTCAAGGTTAGTATGTATACTTCATATGATTTATCTACCTGATAGAAACGAAATTGTCAGGAGATAATGATATGTTTGAGTTTGAAATTTTAGAAATGGAAATACTATATAAAGAACTTAAAAGAATTGCATAAAATGAAGGTTAATTGTATCTGCGGAACAATATTACAGAGCTTGCATTCCTTTCGGGATTAACTTGATAGATAATTGCTGCTTGAATCTATGTTAGTAGGATATAGATCTGCTCAACATTCTTTAGCATCGGAGACTACACTCAGTTGTTGGTGTTGTTCTTGTTGCTCATACTCAGAAGTAAGTTTTCTATGTAGCGTTTTGTGGACTTGTTTGTGTTTTCTTTGTCTTTCATTTTTGTCACGACGTTGTCAGTTTCTCTACGACTTATGATTTTTGAATTTGAATGTCCCCTTTGTATCTTCCGCCTCTTTTCTTGTCCAATAATATGGTGTCATAACTTGGAACTGCTTACTCCTTCGAAAGACACGAGTTTGACATCGTTTTTGGTTTTAGTTTTTGACTCCTTTTTTTTTTGTTCAATGCGTTGTATATGGTTCTTTGACCTGCTATAATTTGATTCGCCCTTTTTTTTTACCTATATTGATTGAAAATTAAACTATGAGATATTCTGAGTACCGTAAATCCAAAGTTTTTAGTTTATGCCATTCATGAATTGGCTGTCTCATAGAATTATTACAGTAATACCCCCTCTCCGAAGGAGGGGTTTGCTGGTTTATCTCTATTTGTCCGTTTTTTACAGGAAAGACTAATCAAGAGTTTCTTGAAACTTAGTAGAAAGCTTCATTTGATACAATTTTCACATTTATCTCTTTTCAACTTCCTTTCTACTTAATATTAAATATATTTTTACATAAGGACCGAATATGAACTTTTCGTCACATTTTTCAGGGACAATTAAAGCTGTCTAAAATTTGGCATCAAGCATTATGTGAGCATGCTTCACTATGTGATTTGTTTTCACAATCAACTTTCTGTTTATATCATCATTAGTGCATGAGCAATTGCTGCCCGTTCATTTTGTTTGGTATTTTTTTTGCCATACATTACATACTGTGTATTGACAAATGAAGATACATGTAATCAGTGTTTTTGTTGCTTTTTTATCAGAACGTGGTGCAACCTATGTAAGATGGGGCAAAAGCGGATGTTCCGGTACTGGCACAAATCTGATTTACTCTGGTAGGTTTATTTCAATCTCAATTATAGTGTAACTATTAATTTTTGTAAAATAGAAGTCAATCTGCACTATAGTACATGTAGCAGTTCAGTACTGATAAGATGGTAGAAACGTACAAGAAAAGTGCGAGTAAATTCTTGGTAGTGTATTACTATAATTATATTTAGTAAATTAAGTAGATGTTAACATATTTTAACAAATTAGGCATTTGAAAAAATCAATGTTCAATCTAATTCTATAGCTTCTATATAAGGATACCAATGGATCTGGGTTAACGTCAAACTTAGGCAGAACCTAATATCCCATTTAGACAATTACTTTAGCTGTAAGGCTTTTGTCATGAGAGGATTATTCTGAGAAATATATGTCAGTATCAATTTGTTAATTAAGAAACATTCATCTGTTTCTTCTTTAAATTACATGTACTTTTAAATGATATTTTTTTATTGATACATTTATGTATTAATTGGTAATTTGACTTTCTTTGTTAATACACGTGTTTGTTAATTCACTGCCACGTGTTACCACAATTTTGCAGGTTATTCTTCTGGACAAAAATACTACAATGGAGATGATTATTATCGTGGAGGTCCGTCTAACATGTTATGCCTCCCCGATCATCCCGAACTAAGTAACATTACTGCAGGTGGCAATAGCTTTATTTATGGATCAGAATATGACGATTCGCAGTTCGGGTCTGGTGCTCAAAATCAGGATGTACCATGTGCCCTTTGTCTTAGCAATGCATCAACGACTGTAATGATTCCTGGAAGGAAGTCATGCTTCAGTGGCTGGAGAATAGAATATTACGGAGTTCTTGCATCTGGTGCTTACCACCATGCAGCATCGTCATATGTCTGTATTGACATACAGCCAGAGTTTATTCCTGGTGGACGGAGTGACAATAATGAAAATACACTTTTTACAACCGGCTACAAATGTGGATCTCTCCCTTGCCCACCATATACCGATGATTTGCAGGTGTATTGTGCTGTATGTTCAAAATGAACGAAAAGAAAGAGTTTGGGACAGAAGGGACTAGTATCTGATCTTTGTATCATTAAAATACATAATATAAATGACGTAAAAGTTGTTTTTTTTAAATTAAGATATGTCCAAAGTTATTTCCTATTCTTTAAGAGCCGTGGGTTAACGTACATTTTATGCTTGACTCAAAACTTGTACAGATATTTTGTTAGTTGGTGCGATTTGTGTAACATACACGAAAATACCAATATTAATTTACACTATGTAGGGAAGAAACTATACCTTTTTTGTAAAGTTAAACCTATTTCGTAATCTTTGAATTTGTAGAATTATGTTGCATATTTCATAACTTTAAACGGATTGGCGAAGTTTGATTTCGACGGTATTTTCATTCGCCGTGCAAGAATTTTTTCCTCTTATAATCTAAATCTTTCAATTGAGCAAACATT